TATCTCCTCTGGAAGATAAAATTTAAAAGTATGTAAGTGTCCTGCTGGAGTGTAGGTAATGAAGGAGCACAGAGAGGGAGGTCATCTACATATTGGATACATTGTGTATCTTTAAGATGGAAAAGAGAGAGATCTTGTGCTAGAATTTGGCCAAACAGGTGAGGGCTATCTCTAAAACCTTGAGGCAAGACAGTCCAGGTAAATTGGGTAGACACATTGGTGAAGGGATTGGTCCAGGTGAATGCAAAAATATCTTGAGAGTCTTTATGTAAGGGGATAGAAAAGAATGCATCTTTGAGGTCTAAAACAGAAAAATAAGTGGCATCAGTTCAGATGGAAGACAGAAGGGTATATGGGTTTGGCACAATAGGATGTATGGGAACAACAGCTGAATTAATGATCCTAAGGTCTTGAACTAATCGGTATGTCCCATTGGGTTTTTTTACTGCTAAAATGGGAGTGTTAAAGGGAGAGTTGGCATGTCTCAGAAGTCCCTTTTGTAAGAGATCATGTACTATGGGAGTTAGTCCCTCTAAGCTAGAGTGGGGGAGGGGATATTGTGCTAGGGAATTGTGAGGGATTTTTAAGGAGAATTCTGACAGGGGGACATTTGGCTATTGAGGGAGAGTGAATATCCCACACTTGAGGATTAACTAGTGAGGAACTAATTGGCCAGTTGGTTTGGGAAGATGGAGATTGGAGGTCTTGGGATAGTACCAGGCAGAAGGAAGCTGTCGGAGTGTTGGAAGGGCTCAGCATAGAAAAATGAATGGATGTTCCAATTTGGGATAAAATATCGCGGCCCAATAAAGGGACCGGGCAGGATGGGAGAACTAGGAATGAATGAAGAAATGGAAAATTGCCAATTGTGCGTGACAGTAAGGGAGTCTGGAGAGGGCGCTGCAGTTGGCCTTCTACCCCAACAATAGAAGTCTGAGAAAGGGAGGTAGGCCCCCAGTATTCTCGTAATGCAGAGAAGCTGGCACCAGTATCCAATAAGAAAGAAATGGTCCTACCTGCCACACTTAAGGTTACCCTGGGCTCTTGGACAGTGATCTGCATTGGGCCAGGTGTGCCAGTGCCTCTTCATAGTCCCTCAGTTGTTGCTAGACCTATCAGGTCCACAGGTTGGGGAGCTGTGGGGCTGATGATAGAATGACAGTTGGATGCCAAGGGACAGTCTATACCCCAGTGTCCCCTCTGGTGATATTTGGGACAGGGCTTAGTTGGCACCTTGGGATTAGGAAAGTCCTTTGCCCAGTGGCCTTCCTGATTACACTTGTAACAGGGGCCTGGTGGTTGGGAGCTCCTTTGTAGGGTTTTTCTCCCCTGTGGCGCAGGTGGACTGGTCAAATTAAGAGCCTAATAATTGATATTTTTTTGTAGTTTTAAGGTCATCTCGGCCATGGTAGGCCTTGAATGCTGTAGCCAGGACCTCTGCCGGAGGGGTCAAGGGCCCTCGGTCAAGCTTTTTTACTTTAAGTCTAATGTCGGGGTAGCTCTGAGAAAAGAAATGCATCATAATTAATCTCTGGCCATCCACAGATTCAGGGTCTAGTTTGGTATGTTGACGGAGGCCGTCAGTCAGCCTTTGTAAAAAGGCGGATGGATTTTCATTTTTATCCTGTATGATCTCATTAAGCTTTTCATAATTAGTGGACTTCATGGTGGCTCTGCGGAGCCCATGAAGGAGACAATTAATGTACCTGTTTTGAGCTTCAATTTCCACCTCTGTGTTGTAGTCCCATTCTGGGTCCTGATCAGGCACTGCAGCAGCACCTTCTGAGTGGTGATTGTTGGTTAAATGTTCTTGGTCTGCATGTGCACGAGTCTGATCCAGCACTCTTCTATTTTCCTCAGGAGTTAAGGCATTGGTTAAAACTACAAAAAGATCATGGTAAGTTAGTTGATAAGACTGAGTCAAAAGTTGAAATTGTTTTATAAAGGTTGTTGGATTGGCTGTAAAAGAACCAAGCCTGGCCTGAATGAGAGCTAGTTCAGACATAGGAAAAGGAGTATGAACGTGGACAATTCCTTCAGCTCCGGCTACTTCATGCAAGGGTGCCATCCTGTGGCCCCTGTGTGTCTTGGAGTGGGTGAGAGATGGAGCATGGGGTGGGGTGGTCGGTGAGTCAGAAGAAATGGGAGGGATAGGAGATTCCAGAGGAGGGGAGGAATTGGATGGTGTAGGAGGAGGGGTGAGTGGGTTTTTGGCTGTCCGGTACAGGGGAGGGTCATCTGCCAGGTCTGGTTGAGTGGGCGAGTCAGAAAAAAGGGAGTTGATGGTGGAAAAACCTTGGGTCAGCAGAAGTATTGGAGCAGTTTTGGTGGCCAAACAGAGAGAGGGCTGATTAGCAAGATAGGAAAAGCCTTGGACATATGGGATCTCCGACCATTTTCCTTGTTGCTCACATAAGTTGTAAAGCTATCTAATTAGACCCAATTCAAAGGAGCCATTAGGTGACAAGATGTTTTTATTGCCTAATTTATATTGGGGCCAAATTTAAGTAGACAAGCTAATTAGCCATTTGGGTTTTAAATCAAGACCCTCCCAATTCCTGAGTAAGCACCCTGAGAATCGGTGGGTATAGAGGAACAAGAGCCCATGACCACCAGGACAAGAGATTATCAGAAGACCAGATGTCTCCGAGAGTTCTGATAAAACTCCTCTTTTTCTAGACCCAGTCTAGAAACCTGAAATTCGGTCTCCTGTGAAGGCATCCCTTACTCGAGATAGGAATTTATGAGAAGAAAGTCCCGGACTTAGTTCATTTGAGTCCCGGGCTCAATGGAGACAAACCCGGTTTGCCAAAACTGAGGGACAGAGGAGCTGAGCCCCAGTCTTGTCCCAGATGTGGTCCTTGTGGGTGGCCTGGAGTCTGAGGTCCCCGTTACCCTGAGGACTTCTCACAAAGGGGAACTTACCCAAAAAGGTGTGGGTCAGAAGATCAGTAGGTTGTTGATGGCTGCAAAGATGGCGACGAGGAGGATGGTCATGGACGTCAAGTGGAGGTCGAATAGGGGTGCCCTGGAATCTGGGTTTTGGGCCCCAGGCATTTAGCTCATGGACCTGGCAACCCCAGATCCCACTCCTGACACCAATGAAAGGGGTCACGCGTGCCCCTTTGGGCACCCCTCCCAATCAGGTCACTCACGCACCGAGAGATCCGGCAGGAGAGCTTTATTGAAGGGAATCAAGTGAGGCACAAAGGCCGGGAGGTGAAGAAAGGGAGGCAGATCCCAAGGGAAGGAGTGTTGGCTCATTTATAGGGTCTTGGGTGGGAGTTTTGCAATTTAGGGGAATTAGGTGTTTTTTAACTTATTGCAGGCCACATTGCCTTATAAGGTCTTAGTCCTGCAGAAGTCCCTTATCAGATGTTGGCGTCATTTCTGGGAAGAACTCAACTCGGGGAGGAAAATGAAACTTAAGTTGGGAAGAACCCGGAAGTCAGGTATAAAATGGAGGAGTTTAAAGTAACATGTACAATTTCCTAACAGTTGTGAATGTTTATTGTGTGTCTTGTATGGGAGACTTTTTTATTGTGGTGGACAACCTAATGTTAGGCTTATACTGTGTTACTGTAGATTATACTGCATATATCCTTGTGATTTTTATCTTACCTTGTGCAGTTTATTCTTCCTGAGATAGCTACTTTTAGGAGAGCCCTGATCAGGAGAGAAATTAGGTTTGGATATATTTGTTAGTTGAAAAATCAAAGGCAACACTGCAAAACACAAGAAAAGAAGCAGCATATTGATAGGGAAACCTTTGATAGTGAAAACTAAGGAAATATCATGATACAAGATAACTTCTGCCCCTCACTCTGCTTAGTTCAGAATTAATCAGCACTGGAGGCACCTAGTCTCCCCCAAAAGTTTTGTAAGTGAAAAGTACCATTGTTAGTTTTGTTGAATATACATGCTCCCTTCCCCCTGGCTAGAATAGGTAACTGAATAAATCTTAAAGGTAACTTTCCCTGACAAAGAACTGCATCTGGATTGAAATTCAAGTGCCTTGCCAACCATGTTTTGGGTATCAACATTGTGAGCTGTGAAAATGCAATGTAACAAACTAAATGAGATTAAGGCTGTAAACCCCTATAAAAGAAGGAGCTGTAACCCTGTGGGGGGAATCGATCAAGGCACCACCATTAGGTATGATTGATCCCCAATGATGGAGTAAACATTTTAATTTTACTTCCATTGTGCTGCCTCTCTGTGTGTCACTTGCCACTTCCTTCCATAACATTACTAGTTACAGCATATTACTTTCAACATCCTACTAAGAGAAGAGAGCAGCATGCATTGCAGAGTTAATAGGAAGAAGGGAGTCATCTAGGACATGTGTTCAATCAGTGAGTAAGGAGTGTTAATTAAAACAAAGGAACTATAGGTTAAAGTCTTCACTGGGGCCTAGAGCTCACCCAACCAGGTTTTTCCAAAGGAAGATCCATCTAGATAGTTTATAGCAAGTACGTATGAGTTTCATGAGATCATATTGTGACCTAGAAGTGTTGATATGTGGCATATCAGTTCACATGGGGTGCAGGGGAATTGTTTGGCAGTATATAGCTATTCCATAAGGAAGCGATTATCAAGAGGTTTAAAGCAGGTCATCCTCCTTGAGGAACTTGGGGAAATCTGAAAACCAGGTCGGGTTGGCTAATACCTGCTTTTGGTGTGAGAAAGTTCACTTTTTTAAAAATTTTTTCTGTCTTCTAGTGCTGGGGATTGAAGCTGGGTCTTTATGCATTCTACCACTGAGGTATATCCTCAGCCCCACAAATTATTGTGTTCTGTAAAGTATGTTGTACTTACTTATATTCATCAATTCTAACCACTTTTTTTGCAACACTGAACATAAAGTTGATTTAAATTTTAAAAATAGATTCAAAGACAAGAACATTTGAAATATAATATGAAGGTTTTTATTATTGCTTAATGTCTCTTTTATTTGTGGTAAGCATAAAACTTTTAATAAAATTTCTTTTGCCTTGCAGAATGCTGCTTTTTTGTATGGTCTTGGTTTGGTCTACTTCTACTATAATGCATTTCATTGGTAAGTTAACTAATTCCTAGTTTTTACAATAAATTATGATATATAAAGTTAAAACTAAAAGATTTTAATGCTCATAACCATACATTTTAGAAGCACCAGTTTTATTTCTCTAGGATATTCACATCAGATTTGGTACCCCATTTTATCCTTACACGTGTGTTGGTTACTAACTAGTAACAATTACAAGCTATTCTAATACAAGCTTGTCTTTTTTTTTCCTTTTATTGGGTTTATTGGTACATTTTAGGTATATAGTACAGTCACATTAATTATTGTGATCTTGTTCCTTTACATGACAGGTCGTCTTGGTACAAGCTTTTCTAATAATGACTGTAACTGGCAGGTTGATTATCAACTTTCAACATCCTACTAACAATTCAGTTTTGAGAGTTATAATTGTAAGACCACCAGCGATCTTAACCAAAACTTCAGAAGAACTACTGAACAGTGACAGCAAGACAATACCCTAGAGGAATGGAATGAGCCACACCCAAGAATGGTGTTAAACAGACCTTCATTAGTCTAGCCAGAAGGCTCCTCCAAACAACGACTTGGAGAGTGCCCTGAGCCCATAGTACAAGAGGATTTTATATGTTTCTAGATAGGGGGGAAACAAGCAAAATTATAGAAGCAGTTAGAAGAAAGGAACAGAACATATAGTTTGCATAGAATGAGGCTATGATAAAGTAAAGAGCTGTGGTTAATTTCTATAGGAAAGCCATTTTCATGACAAAGTGTAGGGCTATGATTAATCTTTAGGGGAATCATCTGTCTCTTTTACCTGGAATGTTCACACTTGGTGTTTGTTCCGGACCACTGTCCTGAGTAAATGCTGTCTATTTAATCACGTTGGGCCTTTCTTGCTCTCTCAAAAGGGCTAGCTTAACCTTTTACTAAGATGGCATCCATGTTGGCACTTTACCCTTGACAATAATTACATTGTATAATAAGATGCAGTAAAGTGCAGGAAACTCTTTGAGCTTTGTTTTCCTATGTCTGCACTTTTTGAGTAAGAAAGATGAACCAATATTATGGCCAAGATTTACAAACATAGTTAGGTTACCTTGATTATCTATAAAATAGTTTTATTTTTTGGTACCAGAGATCAAACTTGTACTTGAGACAGATGGTACAATCATTGAGCTAAATCCCTCATATATAAAATAGTTTTAAATATGCCTAGGTTCACTAACAATTATATGGCTGTTCCAGAGGTAAATATTCAACTTATACTGAAATAATTTTTGCTGCCATTTGTCTTCTGCTGTGCTTTTGGGCTGTTTATTATATTAAGCCAGGCAGTACTTGTTACATAATTTGGGGGTTATAGATTCTTACAAATTTTTTCAATGAATTATACATTACTTTAAGCAATCTTAATCCACATACTTTACTGTGAAGTTAGCCATATTTAAAATCAGTCCTGAACTTTTATAGTGTGAGGAAGGGTTAAGTTTAACCCTTTAATTTTGCTGATGGGGAAAATAGGGCATATGTAATTTTTACTGATTGTTATTTAATCGTTTATTTACTGGTGTCTGCAGATCTGGTGTTTGGGTCTCCATTCTAAAAATTTAAAGCATAATCCTTATTGAAAGAAAAAAATAATATATTATGAGCTTGTTGTACCTGGACTGCAAAGTCCCCAAAGACCACCAAGGAGTTGAGCCTGATGTAAATGCATGAGGAGTTTATTGCAAGCTTGAGCTGGACCTCCTACCTCATCAACTAAGAGGATCAGAAACGAGAGTCCTGACCCTTTTCTAAGACATAATTTTATAGGGTTTGGGAGGCTTGAAATCATGTCTTTTTCACTGGTGTTACCTCTTATTTCTATTGGGTGTTGCTGGGCACTTGGGAAAGCAGGAAGAAAACTATTTCAGGCTGGGGAGGGGGCTAGTTCATGGAGAGGTCAGTGTGCGCAGGAATGTGGTGGGCTTTTCTTATCTATACAGAGCCTCCTGTTTCTTCTTCTGTATAAGTTTTATGGTTCGCTTTCCCAGGCATCCGGCCTTGCCTTTATCTCAACTAAGCAAATTCCTGCCTGAGTTCACCTAGGAGTCACATCTTACATGAGATGGCTTTCTGTCTTAAAATGGAGTTACTCTGGTCTCTACAAGCTTGACTGTTAAATACATTGAATTCTTAAAATCTTTTAGATCACTTTTAATTGGAAAAAGTACAGAAGGCTAAAAAATTTAATGATGGTACTGATAAAGACTTTTGGGGATTTACAGGTAAAAGCTATGCAACGTACTAAATATTGTCGGTTATATTTTGTCCCTTGTGAAGATAGCTATTTTTAAATCACTATTTATATAGCTGTTCTTCTGAGCATGTGGATATAATCATTTTGTCCAACTAAAAATAATTTCCATGAACTCTGGTCAAGAGATTTTACAGTTGAGGGAATACAACGAGTATACTTAATGTTATTCAAGTCATATAGTTATAATAAATTATTCTTCCTAGATTGGAAGAACGTAAAGACCTGTAAAGCTAAAATGCTTATATTCAAATATTAAATTTTTAATTAGATGCTAATAGTTGTAAAACAAATATATCTCTCAACGTGTCAACTTTAAAAGATTTTTGCATGTTGCCCTCAGATAATTACTTCTAAAACATGTTACTTTATCCTAAATGTATATTGAACACATACTTTCAGAAGTAGAAATTAATTTATCAAAATAACTTACAAAATATATTCAGGGTATTTGTCATACTTGGTAGTATGACTAGTGTCTACATCTTTTTGTACTGTATATAAAATATTTTGAAGCAGCTAAGATTCTAAATGGTACCCCTCAGATGTTTGGAGAATAAATAAAATAATAGACATTTTTTTCTTGTTTATCTTCCATACTCATTTTGAGAAAGTGATAATTCATGTGATTTAAGGAATAAAATGTTCAAAATACATCCAGTGAAAAATGATTGTTTTTATCCCTCCATTTTCTACCTTAGTAATCAAGACCTGTTAAAAGGTACAGTAATTAGGATGGTGCAAAATTAAAAGAAAAGTTCATTGTGTTGTCATACACCTATATTTAAACACAGAGGAGACTGAGGTAGAAGGATGGCCACAAGATTAAATCCAGCCTGGGATACATAATGTATTCAAGGCCAGCCTTAAGCAATAACGAGATCCTGTATCAAAACCAAAAGCAAAAAATGCCATGGATTTAGCCCATTGGTTCCACTACCTGCCTCAACAAACACAAGGACCTGAGTTTGATCCACAGTACCAAAAAAAATCAAAGCAAACTAGAAAAAAAAAAGAGAGAGAGAGAGAGATAGGTAGATTGCTAGATCAATGAAAACTGAATCAGATGAAAAATATTCAGAGAGTATCACATGAATATGGTTTGTGAGGATGGTGGCACAGTGTTGTTGTGGAAATAAGAATGGTCTTTTCCACAAATTACCACCAGTGGTGATGAACCAGTGGCACATGTGAACATGTGATTCAGTGGGCATACAGAGCTCTCTCTGTCAGCATGTTAGCCAAATATATGAGTTGTGTTTTCTAAATTAAAACATTAATATTCAGGTTAATCACAGTTTTGATACTTGATAGGTGGGTTTTGGGATTGCAGTTTGAGCAGCTGGATTCTAAAAGGTTCACCACTGTGGTAGACCGTGGGAAACTCATGTGGAAAAAAAAAAAGACTTTTATTTAAAGATCATCTCTATAATCCCTGTAAACCAAAATGTGAAAAGCAAAAATAAAGCTTCTAAGGCTAGACTTATATGGAACAGAATAGAACCTGTATCAACATCTTCTACCACCTCATTTCTTCAGGAACTTTCCTATAGCTAATATTTTGGGGCATTCACAGCTCCTTTTTTGTTGTCATTCTTTTTTGCTTCAAATCACTGTGTAGTCCAGATTGGATTTGAACCTGAAATTTTCCTGACTCACTTTCCTGAGCATTGAAATTACAAGTGTGTGCCATCATACTTTTCTAATATCAATTGTGTACAATCAAGAAAATTTTAATTGAGTTTATTGGTATATTTTAGGATACAATCAAAGTTTTATTGGAACTATAAGTATTGTTGAATAATTAGAAAAATTGAAAAGAAATTATCCTGGGTTTCTTTCCTTTTTTCTACAATTTATGAAAAACCCTCTCATTGTTTATATAAAATTGTATGTCCATTACAAGTAGGCAGCCAGAATGTTTCCTCTGCTATCTTGTAAAATACATGCATTAAAAACTTAACCATGTATTTGTATGTATTTTTTTAGGGCGGTTAAAGCATTTCAAGATGTGCTTTATGTTGACCCTAGCTTTTGTCGAGCTAAGGAAATTCATTTACGACTTGGGCTTATATTCAAGGTGAACACAGACTATGAATCTAGTTTAAAGGTATGTGATTGGAATTTTCCCAGTTGTGTATGAGTTTCTGTTTGTGTGTGTGCATGTGCACATGCATGTGCATATATAGCTGTTAAATGTTATTAAGAACATGCGTGCTGGGGATTTAGCTCAGTTGTTCTGGAGCCTGCCTCACAAGTGCAAGGACCCAAGTTAGATCCCCAGTACCACAAAAAAAAAAAAAAAAACACAAAAAAAAAAAAAAAAAAACACAACAAAACAAACAAAAAAAGGACGTGTTGGAATTCATGCAACTTTCATGTCTGAGGATAAAATGAAAAATTTAGGATATAAAAGTAAAAAGATTGGAGTTGGTTTTGGTTACAAAAATGCTAAGACATGTAACTTTTGGGTATATTGAAGTTCTTAAGTCACAGATGTCTTTTGTTTATAGTATTTGAAGAATTTTGTGATTAGGATATGGTGAAATGGTTAATTATATTTCATCAACAACATTACTTTGTTGTCAGTGACTGCCACCATTGAGAGGAGAATTGATGAATGATTCTGTACTAATCATTGTACCTGTGTATATGTGATAATAAAAACTCATTCACCTGTAATAGTAATATACCTTATATTAAAATTATATAGTAGAATATTCCCTGGGCTTTGTACTGCCAATTGATGAGTATGAAAACATTGTCATCTATAGTACATTATTTTCCACATTCTATGTTAATTTCATGGAAGTTTGATTTCTCAAACCATTGTATTTTCTTGGTTTTATGCAGCATTTTTTGTTTTATAAGGCATTTTATGGAATAGAGCTTTCTTCAAAAGCAAAAGTATTACTTTTTAAAATTAAAAAAATATTTTATTAGTGTATGTTTGCCACTCATAATGATCACATTCGTCACAGGGAATCTATAATGTACTTAATATGTCTTCTTTTTTCCTGTTCCCTTTCCTCCTTTTCTATCTCTTTTCCCCTCTCAATTTAGAAAAGCTTTGTTTTCTTTTCCACTCTTCTTTAAAAATTCCTTTTCTCTTCCCTTCCCTCATTTGCTCTCCCCGTTTTTTTTTTTTTTTGTTTTGTTTTGTTTTGTTTTGTTTTTAAACTGGGTATCAAACTCAGGACTTTGCCCTTGTGAGGCAGGTGGTGGAACTACATAGCTCAATTCCCAGCCCTAAAAGTTTATTTCAGCTTTTTTTTTTTGTCTCCCTTTTGAAACTGGTTTTCCTAATATCTATGCCTCCACCCCTTTTTAAAAAATATACCAGAGATCAAACTCAGCACTTTGAGTTTGTAAGGCAGATGGTGTCATCATGTATTAAATCTCATTCCCCTGTTCTCCATTTTGTTTCTTATTTATATTTGGATTTCTCATACCAGAAAAACAATGCAATATTTAAATTGTGTGCCTGATTTATTTCACTTAAAATTATGGTGAGAAAGCTGGGAGTGGCGGCGCATGCCTGTAATCCCAGCACTCGGGAGGCTGAGGCAGAAGAATCCCTTGAGTTCGAGACCAACCTGGGCTACATAGTGAGTTCCAGGTCAGTCTCAACTACATAGTGAGACCCTGTCTCAAAAAACAAAAACAAGAAAAATAAAGGTGAGAAAGTCCATATGTTTACCCAAAAATGACTCAAGTTTAACCTTCTTTATGGTACAGTAGAAGTCTGTAGCATATATACATTTTGAAATTTATCCATCCATCCTTTGATGGGCATATGGGCTGTTTCCAAAATTTAGCTATTAGAAATTATGCTGCTATAAAAATGGGTAATATGTGTCACTGGCTATGATTCTTTAACTCTTTTGAGAGGATACCAAAAAAAGGGAATGATTGAGTCAGATGGAACCTCTAATGTTAGCTTTTTGAAGAATCTCCATACTAATTTGTATAGTGGTCATACCAGTTTACACTCCCACCAACAGAGAAGTTTCTTTTTTGCACAGCCTCCCCAGTAGTTGTTCCTCATTGATTTCTTGGTGATAGCTCTTTTTTTCTGAAAGGAAATGGAATTTCATAGTGATTTTAATTTCATTTCTTGAAAGACCAGTGATGTTGAACATTTTCATGAACTTAAATTTGTTTTGTGATTTTGGGGAAGATAAGTCACATTTGTGTTTGTGTGGAGAAGATGGCTGTGGCTGCGTTTGTCACCCATTGTGGAGTTTGTGAATGAGTAGAAGTAAAATTTTTCAAATGCTTTTTTTTGAAAACTGAATTGTTTGTGAACAGAAGTGTTTGTGAACCAAAACATTCCTGTATTTATTTGCTCTTCTTACTTCTTCATCTGAGAAGTGTTTGTTTCCAGTGCCCATTTTGGATTGAGTTTTTTAATTTGGGAGTAGATCTGAGTTTTTGAATTATTTACATAGTTTAGATATTAGTCTTTTGAGGAGTAGCTGGTAAATTTTTTTCCCTTTCTTTGAGTTGTCTCTGTACTCTGCAGACGCTTTTTAATCTGATGTGATTCTAGTTGTTGATTCTTTGTAATATTTCCTATGTGATTAGGGTTGAAAAAGTCTTTCCCTATACTGTATGTCTTGTAGAGTTTACCTGTCCTATCTTCCAGCAGAGAGTTTTTGTTTTTCTATTTAGATACATGATCCATTTTGGTTTTAGTTGAGTAAGAGGTGAGAGATAGGGATCTAGGTTCAATCTTTGGAAAGCCACTTTTCCCACCATCAGTAATTAAAGAGGTTTTCTTCTGGTGAACATGTATGACATCTTTGCCAAAGATAAGGCATAAGACTTGAATAAGCTAAAGAGACTCCATGCTAATAAGCCTGAGACTGTGCTTCTTCATATGCTAATTGCTAATTTGGCTAACAGGCCACCTAGGGGCAAATGTTATGACAAGAGGTGACCATAGAACATTTCCTGCATAAGATAAGCAATGTGTTTGGAATCTTGTCCTCTGGTAGTTCTGTGAATCCCCTGACTTTTTAGAAAAACCCTATAAAAAGGACTTCAGCCCCTGAGCAGTTGTCTCTCTGAGCTACCTGGCTTTGGGAGTGCAGTCTGGCCAGACTAATTAATAAAGCTCTGTTTACCATCTAGCCTGATGTGTTCCTTCCTGGGTTTCTTGTTCCTCCATCGAGCTCCCGGAGCCTCGCTGGGTTTTAGGACCCAGTATCATGGAGGCCTTTTCAGCTGTTCACGCTCCATGGAGTGGAAGTGAGACTTAGGTCTTACAAAGGTAGCTGAATGCATTTGATGTTGTTTCTGCATTTTCTATTCTGTTCCATTGCTTGTTGGGTCTGCTTCTTTGCCTTAGATGCTGTTTTTATCATGGTAGTTTTATAGTAGAACTTCAAGTTTGGTAGTGTGATGCCCCCTACCTTGCCCTTGCCATCCACAATTGCTTTTGCTCTTTTGGTCTTTTCTGTTCCATATGAATATTAGGGTTGTTTCTCAGGTTCTGAGAAATGTACTTTTAGTATTTTGACTGGGATTGTATTAAATCTTTGTAACAGTTTTAGAAGTATGGCTGTTTTCATGCCATTAGTTTTGCCTATGTAAGAACAAGGTATATCTTTCCAGTTTCTGATCTCCTTTTCCAGAGGACTGTAGTTTTCAATGTTAAAGGTCTTTTACTTCCTTCTTTAGACTGATTTCTTGATATTGTGAAAGGTATTGCTTTCCTTTTTTCTCAGGGAGTTTGTTACTGGCATAATTTTTGAGTGTTAACTTTGTATTATGCTGTGTTACTACATTTGGTTACTAAACCTACAATTCTTTTCATGGGGCTTTTCAGTCTTTTTTTGTAAAGTATCATGCTATCAGGAAATTATAATTTAACTTTTTTCTTTTTCAATATTTAAAAAGTTTTTCTTATCTAATTGTCTTAGCTAATGAACTGGAGTGTTGGCGGTAGGTGCCCTATCTTGTTTCTGATTGTGGAATGAAAGCTTTCAGTATGATGTTGGCAGTTGATTTGTCATAGATGGCATTTTCAAGTAAAAATAAAGACATCTTTTAATTTTCTATAATTAAATTAAATTGTGGTATGCGTGCCATTGATTTTCAATTCCATTATTCTATGATTTTATAATAGTGGGACAATTTCAGTTTCTTTGTATTTACTTAAATATGATCTGTGAGCTAGTATATGGTCTATTTTAGAGACAGTTCCATGTTCTGCTGAGAATGAATATTCTGTTGGGTGAAACACTGTAGATATTTACTAAGTCATTTTTTCAAAGGTTTTGTTCAGATATAGTGTTTGTTAATTGTTTTTTTTTTTTTGGTCTCGTTCATCTGTTTTTGACAATGGGGTATTGAAGACCCCCAATACAGTTGTCTTAGTGCTTATCTGATTTTTGTATCCATTATTGTTTGTTGTATACAGTTGGCTATACAACAAAGTAATTAGTGCATATATATTTATCACTCTCATCTTATTCTCTTGGAGTATTCCTTTAACTGTGTGGTGACCTTCTTTGCCTTTTCTGACTAGTCTTGGTTTAAAATCTATTTTGACTGCAAATAAATTAACCATCCCTGCTTTTTTCTGGGTTCTTGTCAGATAGAATATTGTTTTCCATCCTCTGACTTCCAGTCTATGATTTTTTTTTTAGTTAAATATGTTTCTTGTATACAAGATATTTTTGGATCTTGTTTCTTGATCCATTCTACCAATCTGTTTCATTTGATTAGTGAATTGGGACCATTCACATTGATAGTTTTATCTGATAGATATTGACTTATCTTTGTCATTATGTTATTTTCTTGTTGTTGGTTCCCTTTCTTTCCCTTCTATTTAATTGCTTGTTTTGCATGGTGGAGTCATTCTACTGGGCTTATTGAAATTCTTTGTTATCCCTTTCTAGAATATTCTTCAAAACTTTTTGGAATGCTGGTTTTGTGATCATGAATTTCTTCAGTAGCTCTTTTTCATGGAAGACTCTTATTTTTTCCATTGATTTTTAAAGATAGTTTTGTAGAATACATCAATCTGGGTTGAAGGTTGTTTTATTATTGAAATAAAAGGACAAAACAAATTTAAAAAGAAACAAATTAGAAGCAAGGCTG